CTCGCTCAGGGTGAAAATAACTTTCCGTTTTAAAGATTTGTCTTTAAAATGGAGGACATCATCTAAAAATAAATACAAACTGAAGTAATCAAATAGTTAAAGTTAATTTAAGCATTTATCAATTTGGAATATAAAGTAATTCTGTAAATTCTCAAATTTTATTCTGGGGTAATTATTTTGACAAATACACCCCCCCCCCCTTCGCACGAAGTTTGAATAAAAAAAAAATTGGAAATAACAAAAAGCAACTGTTCATCCAACAAATTTTTATTTTGCCATTTCTGCACTAAAAAATATCAAAATTCTTTGTTTAAAGTGAAGTGGGATAGATTTTTCAAGAAATGATGTACCCCTTGTTTCATTTTAAATCTTAATCAATAACCTGCGTCTACATAAAACCTCTTCGCCTGCTTTCTTAACGTTCTCTTCTCAACTTCTGAGAACTCTTTAGGATAGGTTTTCTTCATTATGTATTTCTGAACTCCTCCAGCTTCAGTTTTTCTTTTTCAAATCGAAGGATTCTCTCCTCATTCAAAGACCAAGAGCTGAAATAATTAAAGTATGATTTTTGATTTGATTAAAAGTTGGAATTGGGGTTTCCAGCAAAATATAAAAATTGTATCACTGAATTTTTCACATTTCTTCACGTAACGAATCACTAAGATATTTTGCAAAAAAACAACAAAAAATTTGCTCAAAATTGTTTCCTTTCGCAAAATTCGTTTTTGCGAAAAGATGCAAAATTTCGCAAAAAATTTGCAGTTCACAAAATTTGTCATTTTGAGCGAAAAATGAACAAGGGAAAGACAGTCACGAAAGATTGCCAAGAAACAAGGGGAGGGGTCTAATTAGCGTTCACTTTACAGAGGGGTTTATATTTAATTACCTGTTTATCATAGAGGATGTGGACTGACAATCGTCTCCATCTTCTCCATGGTCACCACAGTCTTCAACATTTTCTCCACCTCCCCCTTCCACCTTTCTCAGCATTTCCCCTTACTCATTCAAAAACCGAAGACTAAAATAATTTTAGTATGATTTCTGATTTTATTGAAAGATAGCATGCAACATTAGCCCTACAATATTCATTTTTTTATTATTACTCTACACCCATAGACAACATATATAAGTGTCAACCCTATTTTGACTGACGTCTGGTTTACCCAAAATAGACTGGAGGGGGGGGGGGCAGGTCCCCCACCCTCTATTTCCTTATTGTGATACAAATCTTGAGCCCTTGAGCCAGCAAATTAAAATATGCAAAACATGCAAAAACAGCATTTTCCTTTCCTCATTCAAAAAACCTAAGACTGAAATAATTTAAGTTTGATTTTTGATTTTACTGAAAGATAGCTTGCAACATTGATCTTATTTAATTACCTGCTTTTCTGAGAGGTTGAATCCAGGCAATCGTCTCTAGCTCCACCATCTCCTCCATAGTCTTCAACATTTTCTCCACCTCCCCCTTCCTCCTTTCTCAGCATTTCCCCTTTCAAGTCCACAATACCAAGAGTTAAAATATCTTTCCATTTTTTACTCCCCTTGACAATTCCACAAATACTTCTGCCCTTTCGATTCTTTCCAACTTCTGCTTTTCTTCCTCCACCCCAAGGAACAGGCCAACCTCCGGGTTCAGAATTCATCATGTTATCGATTTTTGTGTTCTAAATATGTAATATATGATAAATGAGAAATGGGGACAAAGGCCCCCTAGCCTGTCCTAGCCGCAGCGCTCGGCCCAGAAAGTGTCTTAACTAACCTAACCCGTGGCCGCAGCGCTCGGCCCCCTAGCCCATCCTAGCCGCAGCGCTCGGCCCAGAAATTGTCTTAACCTAACCTAACCCTAAATAACAAAAAAATAAATAATAATAAATTTAAATCGTTCACTAGGACAGACCCTTGTTTTTGTAATCGTTACAATTTTTTGTTTGGTAGGCCATAAAATTTAAAAATTAGAAGCACACACATTGTGTACATTACTTAGGCATGTTTTTTGCAGACTAAAATTTTAAATGTGTTTGTTCACTAATGCCGTTGATAGTTTTATATTCTAGATCGTCTTTGTTTTACACACGGGCCAATTATAAGGCAGATCCCGGCATTTTAGTTCAAATTTTCAACACTAGGTTTCTCTTTAACCAGATTAGTTTCTAAAGAAATTTTGTAAACAATTTTTCAATTTTACATTTATTTAAAATTTTCGGAAAAATTCCTATTTTCAAATAGGAAACTTTTAAGATTGAAAATTAATTGTCAGTAAATGTTAAAAAAAGATATCTTGTGAAAATACATGAATTATAAGTTTGATCAAAATTTTCTTCACTTTCAATGTTGATATTCTGTCGTCGCACCTCAGTCAGTCTATCTATGTGAGAGGTTTAAGCCTACATTAACCTGAACACGATTTTCTCTGATTTATATGTTGGAATGGATGGAGGTTGTGTTACGCGAGCCATGCTGCGTGTATGAAGTCTATGTGGTGCCCCTGTGAATTCCTGAGTTCTACCTGCGGATCTGTACAGAACAGTATACAGTATTGTGAAAAACTAGTTTTAGAAGCTGTTTACAGACTGACTACGCAGGCGCAAGTTTTCTCGCGTGGAAGCGGGCAGTTTCTATCTTAGTATATATTTATTTGTCTTACAAGTTCGTCTATTATTGACCGTGCTAAGAATTCTAGGATCACTGCAGTAAATATTCCTTATATATATGTATGCATATCGTTTGTTTATGTTATGGTTGATATTTATAAATGTGTTGTTGGTTCCTTGCCACAGTTTTTTAATGCCTGAGTTGATTTTTTTTTTTTTTTGTTTTGTTTTTTCCTTCAAAGCTTTTTCTGTGGGTTTATTAAACTTATTTAGATTGAAGTCTCAGAGAAATAAACGTTCGGAACCTTATTATTATCCTTTGTTATGGAGAGCGTTGAGAAGAGGAAGGCTTACAATCCTATCTTGAGAAATACCGCACGGTATATATATTAGGTCTTTAGGGAAATCGCTAAGTAGCGAAACAGGTTGACAGTAGTGTGGTAGAGCAACTACGCCAATATTTTTTAGCTTATTAAGCGCAGGGGTGGTCTACAGTTTATATATTTCAGTATATATAATTAAAGCTTTACAATTACATTACTTATCATGACTGGTCCTTGCAATATAACTCCCCTTGTTGCAGGAGGGTGGGGGGGATATGAAAATAGCAAAGTAAGATAAAAATTGGGCCTCCTTCCCCAACTGAGGTCTGAGCGTGGGGGGGGGGGTAAATTTTTTGATTTTGTTTACCCCCCCCTAGAAAAATATCATGATGTATATCAAATAATTGGTTTTAATTGGGTTTGATTTGCATTTTCCACTCATTTCTGGCATTTACAAACTCCATCAAAGAAAGGCTTCATTTCATACCTTTCAGCTTTCACCTTGTTTAATTTTAATATCCAAGTCATTGTAGTCAATTCATGTTACATTAACTACATAGATCTGTAAAAACTGAATTTATTTTAAGTAAGATATAAAATAATAGTTTTACTCTAAGAGGAAAAAGATGTTACTTTTTTTAATCTTTAGAAAAGCTACTCTGCAAAACTTTGAAAAAATATTGTCTTCGTTTATATTCTTATTTCTAATTTCTAAAATTTTCTTATCGTCAATGTAGTATGTTAAGATCTTAAATAAATCGAATAGAAATGACATTATTTAGAAGTAAAAATGTTATATTTTTCATTGCCCATACCCTTTTTTTCTATTAAAAAAAACATCTAATTGTAATAACATTGACTAAATTTAGAATATGTTGACTTAATATCCGAAATATCTGAAGTATGTGCACATTTTCGTGCAAATTGAAAAGATATTCAATTTTAAAATCAAGTTTTTATATCTGGGGGAGTAATTACCCCCAGGATTCTAGGGGGGGGGGTAAATAACCCCAATAACCCCCCTTATTCACGTTACTGGTATTCAAGTACGTCTTATTTACCCTCTTAGTTCGATCCTCATCAATTAACATAGTCGCATTCAAATTGTAGTTTGTAAAAATATGAAAATAAAAATAACAAATTCGTTTAAAATTTTAGAGCCATTGACTCGTAAGATAACACTTATTTAAATCGATCGAAATATCTGTTGAAAACTTGAAATCTCTTGTTGAATTTAAAAATGATGATGGAGCATACAACTTTGTCTTCAGTAGATCAAAATGTTTTGGTCCTGGAGGCAGGGGCGGATACTGTTGTATTCCGGATTGTTTGGTATATGAGTGAACAGTCCCTTGAATCCAACAGGAAGCCAGATGAGTCAGTACATCCCGGACCTGGAGTTTTGGTCCTGGAGGCAGGGGCGGATACAGGATTTAAGTGAGGGGGGGGGCAAGATTTTTTATGAACCAAAAAAAAATGAATAATTAGGAACCAAAAATCGTGCCGCAGGCGAAAATTTTTTTGACTTAAAAGACTCAAAAAGAGTCAAAATTAATGACTAAAGAATAAAAAAACCAGATTTTTAAATTTTAGGAACAAAATTAAAGAATTAGAACAGCAATTTAGGACAATTAAAAGCTTTTTCAGGAATTAGGAAAAAAATTAAAGGATTCGTACAGGGATTTAAGAACAATAAAAAGATTGTTCAGGAATTAGGAACAAAAATATAGGATTAGAACAAGGATTTAAGGTGGTTCGGACACAGTATTAGGAACAGGAACAATTATAGGAACATTAGCGATTTAAGAACAGAAAGAAATTACTAGTTATACTTAAATGCATGAAAATTAGGAACAATATTACAATTTTGATAAATGAGTATTGATTAAGGAACATTACTAGATGAACAATATTATAACTTAAGTCTACTTTCTTACAAATTTCTAATTCTAAATTTATCGTTAACAATAACATTTATCAAATTGGGAACATTTTTTGCCTCGAAATCTCAGGGGGGCGAATGTCCCCCCGCCCCCCCTGTATCCGCCCCTGCCTGGAGGTCTCTGAACTTCCAAATCTACTAAACTAAACCACAATGTTAATTTTATTTAAAACATGAGAAATATAGATTATAACAATCGTTTAACTGTATTGTATAACATGCAGTTATTAAATTATAACTTACCCCTTTTATACCCACACTGGTTGGGTAATTGTCATATAAGGCAATAGTAAAGGGACAATCAACAAAATTTCAATTTAATTAAAAAAATATGCTCGATTTACAACCGTATACTCGTTACATCTTTTTCCGGCAAAAAGCTTATTTTTTTTTCTTAGCTTCAAAACCTGACTTAACTTAAACTTACTTAATTTTTATCGCCTTTCGAATCAGAATACCTTATAAAGCACTGCAGGCATTTGCAGGGTGGCGTGTTCGATTTACACCGGTGTTTTTTAAAGCTTTACTTCAGCAGTAATGATTGAAAAATCCCCCGTTTCTGTCTCAAAATTAATCATTTTTACTTACAAGTATCTTCACAGGTAATTATAAGGATTTGTTAATCAAAGCCAAGGAAGAAAACTGACTAAATCTATCCAATAAAACAAACATGATCTTTCTCATTCATAGAACTCGGAAGGTATAAAGATAGATATGTAAACAAGGCCTGCAAGGCAACTCTTAAAATGGAGATTATACCTTGGAATTACGTTAACAGTCCCTTTCATCGACAATTTTAGGTATTTTCCCATTAACATTAACAATATACTGACATTGTATTTCATAATTCCACTGTATAGGCGTAAATTAATTCCCACCTAATTTAATATTTTTAGAGAAAATTACCAGTTAACTAATTTACGAGTGTAAGTTTAATGACTGCAAAGTTGTCCCATAGGAGCATGGATGGATTGTAATATAACGATTAAAATCACAGTTAATCATATACAATGATATACATACAGTGGTAACCAAAACACAGTAATATAGTTGTGTGTTCGATAAATTAACTAAAAACATGACGCTGAGGAACTCGTAACTTGTATTTATAAACATTTTTTAAACAAAAGAAAGAAAGACGACTATAATCAATCACCAATTTTTTGGATACCACTGTAAGAATGAATTAATAAATAATGTGTGTTACGTACAAAAATAATAATAATGTGTGTCCACGACCCGCGAGCACAGCGAGACCGAAAAACTATGAAATAGGAAAACGACATTTTTTGTAATCTTTTGTTTCATAATCAATTAGTTTTGCCAGTAGCTTGAAAAAGTCCATTATTAAGTGACATGGGACTGTGTCAGTGTGTGCACTGTAAAATTGGTGAATGTCATGCGTTTTTTAATTATTCCACAGTTGTATGGGTCTCACGTTGTATAAAGTGCGCACTGCGCATTGTGCACCGTGCTTTTCTCATCAATGTTTACATCTTTAGTTCTCCAAGCTCTAATGATCTGAAACAAAAAGAAAATTATTTGCAAATTAGTGTTTCAAAAAATCTTTATTTCTGTTCCTTTCAATTGATTATTTAAGATACAAGTGCTCCGAGCCCGCGATTTAAAAACTTCGGGACGTCCCGTAATTCCTTAGACCCGACTTTAAGACCCAATCCTCGACTCAACTCTGACGACAGCTTGTGTTACGTGATTGACAGCTGCAAGATCTTCGGCTCGACTTGAGTCGAGTTAGGCCCAATAAAAATAAAACCGACCTTTATTGGTTTTAATGGAGAATAAGGCTCAATGGTGAGTAGTGTTCTCATAAAAACCCGGAATGCACCAATTCCTACCATGGAAATTCGCCAAATAGAATAATAAACCGGTTTTTAAAACTCAACTCTGTGGAAAATAAGATGCAGCTTGAATCAGAAAGCTGAAGTCGTAAAAAAGGCCCAACGTCAGATATGACTCGTAACATATTTCCCCGAATTTTTTTATCGCGGGCTCAGAAGACATGGGTAACTTAAAAACCGTTTAAAGAGACTGGAGGCATGATTTGCCAGTGCCAATAGGAGAATCTATAATCTATATACTTTGCTTGTCTGTCTGTCTAGTATCCAATGAACGACCAAACGGCTGAACCGATCGGGCCCAAATTTTGTGAGGGACCTCTCAAGGCCCCAAGTGAAGGTTTATGAATGATCAAAATGTCAAAACTTGGCCTCCAACAACATATGGTTGTCATTAAAATTCTAAATTTTTGTAATAAAATCCGCGAACTTATTTGTTTGTTTTTGTTTTACAATTTAAAAATATACAAAGAGAAAATGTTCACAATTCAAATAGAAATGTAAAAAATAAACAATTTTAGATACTAATGATATTTTGTTTCCCATTCGCATACTTTACCTGTACACTTCTGAAGTTAGCTCCACGTAATTTCTACAACAATTTCAACTCATGGTTAATTTAAAGTAAAGAGAGATCTTGAATATCGTCTTTGATCATAGATCTTAGTCGAGATCAAAATAAAATTGTTCATATTTCGGGTAATTTTGAAAGCACGAAAAAGACAGACCACATTTTGGAATTGCAAGGCTAGGGCAATTTTGTGATTATTAATTTAAGAATTCTAATTCTAAAATTGGTTTATAAATGAGATTAAAGACGACCTTAAAGTCATCTCCTAACTGTCATTCGTGGGACACCCTGTAGTTTAATTTGATTTCGAGTGCTGCAAAAATTGGTATAATTTAGTTGATAATGAATTTTATTCTAAACAAATCGTTTTTCTTTTTCTATAAAGTAAAGCTCTTCGATCATGTACATGTATATATTTGTATGGATATTCATACAAATATAAGTTGTAGCAGACAAAACGGCTGGATCGAATTGGCTGATTTTTTTGGGAACTCATAGGTAACATAGACAAAAGAAAATTTCAATAGGACAACTTTTTCTCCTTTCTTTTAATTTCACGGGCAACGTCGGGCACTTCAGCTGATAAATATTTCCAAACTCTGGTTCTCATGAGTTAAAATTTGTTCCTTGTGGAAGCCTGGAATATATAAAGAGGATCCTTGATAGTTCCTGGGTTTAATCCTTCTCTCTGTAGATCACGCTTCTTCAGCTTAAAGGTTGCTAAACAGACAGATTTAATAAATAGTAGTTAAACCTAGTATTGTTAGTTCAACTGCCTCTCAAGTGCACTTTTTAGACACCTCAACGTTGCTGGACACTAACAGACAGATTTAATAAATAGTAGTTAACCCAAGTATTACTGGTTCAACTACCTCTAGTCAGCTAAAACGTTGCTAAACAGCCAGCTTTAAGGAATAGTGTAAGTTGAACTAAGTATTACTGGTTCAACTACCTCTCTAGTGCACTCTAGAGAGGAAGTTAAACGTTGCTTCACAGACAGCACAGATTTAATGAATAGTACAGTTACACCCTAAATAAGCCATACATCGAAAGAATTCATCAAATGTCGTATTCGTCGTATTCTTCACTTTCTGATAATGGAATATTGCAGATATTTAGTTTTTTCATTAAATGATTATAGAGCTCTTTAAACTGTTCCCGCATATTCATGGCTATTTATTTATTTTCGCAAATACTTAAATTTACGTAAAATAGTATAAAACCCATTGAAAATTTGCCAAGACGACATTTGATAAATTAATTCGATGCTTGGCTCATTTAGGGTTTAACTGCAAGTTGAACCTAATATTGCTTTTCACACTACCTATCTAGTATTAAAAAAGATTAAAAAGAAAAGAAAAAACGAAGACGACAATCATTTCTTTTTTATTTTCCTTTCAGAAAATAATATACTTGATTTCTTATGTTTCAAAATCGTCTTTGTAAAGACGACATTTATATTAGTTTTAAATCCGAAATGTTAATCATTGAGCACGTTCTAAGATAAAACAGAGGTCCATATAATTCCATCCAATAGAATGTCAAATGTTAAACAATTGATATAAAAGGTAGAAATTAACTTTGTTTTATATTTCAAACAACAAGAAAAATTCCCCACTGCCGAATGTATACTGCAAGAGTGTTCATAATTTATCCCTTATATTGATAAATAGTATTTACGTCTTTTAACACCCTAATGTAGTACACATTGTACACGTAAACAAAAACTTGCTGTGGCGCACTCTACAGGATCAAATATGTAAGAAAAACTAGGATTCAATCCATAACAGAAATAGTTGGAATTTTTATTTTATTATAAATGCACCAGTTCAAAAAGAAAAACCCGCCAAAAATTGAAATAATTTAAAATAGCCGACTTTCAGTGCAGTTAAAGCTAAAATTATTTACAGAAAATGGGCGCGCAGCGGCGCCCTAAAAACCTTTTTAGTAAAAAAAAACAATTAGGACGTATTTTAGTTAACATTTTCGGTAATAATTATTTTGACACTTAGTTAAACAACTTCTAAAAGATTTAAAAAGAGAATTTAAAAATGCTAACCTGTAACATCTAATTTATCAACTAGTCGGATAAAGAGGGGTCGAGCATAGCTAGGAAGACGACCTTCAAGTTCGTCATACAGCGTTTTTAAATCAACGAGCCTAGATTGAAAATAATCCTAAAAACTATTAATAAATTACTCTATGTTCAAAAGTTAAAATGGGAGGAAAAACGCTAATTTTTAACAGGGTGTCCCAATTTTATATATAATTTTCTAAGAAAACTGTATTTTGCAGAATATTTGGTCTGCTACAAGTTTAAATTTGTTTGATTCTTTTTGATTGCATACGGTTGAACTAAGTAAAATGAGAAAATTACAAAAATTATTTAAAATTAATTAATAAAATTCTAATGTTTCTTTAGAAAGAAATCTAAATGATATATTTTATGATAAACATTAAAAAATCAAAGCTTGCTATTAATATAAAGTCAATGATGATTAAATCTTCATGGAGTAAATATTTGATTTGATTTGATGATTTGAAAAAGTATGGATATATTTTAGAATAGTTCAGATATTTGATAAATAATGTACTATTTATAACACTATTACTTTGGCTATTGAGATGCAGTGAATGATAAAGTACACAATCGTTTTATAATTTCAATCTTTATTTCATTTAAAATTATAAAAACAAATATTCTAGAAATATGCTAAATTTTTTTTGAGAAAATACGGTAACCAATCAATTTTTACATTGTAGCACGATCATTATATTATTGCACGGTGCTAATTTATCTTTATAGCCAGATATGTACTTTATAGTATGATGATTATTTTATAGCACGGTGCTATGATATACAGCTAATTTAATTTTATAGCTGGATGATTACTTAATAGCACAATGAAATGAGTATGAATGATTAAGTAAATAGTTTCCTAAAATACCTTTCTGGATCCGGGATTGCCAGCATTCCTGCTCTTCCTTCACATCCGGGCACCTCTACACCGTACACTACACACTCCTAAATTAGAACTTTCAAGGGACTGTTTACGTAACCTCAAGTGACCCTCCATTAAAGGATAAGATCCTAGATTCTAAACGCTACTCTTTGAATTTTTTTCTGAGGATCAATCACAGCGGACTAGGGTTAATTTTAATTTGAACCGGAACGAACCGCTCCTATCCTATGTCGGCCCGGGTTTACAGTGCGGCCTGAATTTTTAACAGTACCTGGCCTATCACTGACATATTTTACCAACCCCACTAGCTTTGTTTAGAGTAATCATAGGGGGGTGGGGGTGGAGAACTTCCCCCCCCCATCCAAAAACAGAACTGCCGGGACAAGGTTAATATAATCATTATTATTATCAAAATAATTTTTACGTTTTCTACCTGTAATCCGATTACACTGCTACATATCCCCTCCACCTCAGCTGTAGATACATTTTCTCCTTTCCACCTAATCATTGATCAATTTATAAACTTATTATTCTTTCAATCCAATCATTGATCAATTTATAAACTTATTTATTCTTTCCACCTAATCATTGATTACTTTAAAAACTTACTATTCTTTCCACCTAATCATTGATCATTTAAAAACTTATTATTCTTTCCAACTAATCATTGATCAATTTATAAACTTATTTATTCTTTCCAACTTATTATTCTTTCTAACTGATCAATTGATATAATACACTAAATTATTCATCCTTTCCTCCTTATCATTTCATTTATTTAAATATTCATTCTTTCCAATTGATTAATTCATCTAATCAATCATCTTTTCAATCTGACCAATTCAATCAATTCATGAAATATTGAAATACCCCGCCCCGCACGCTCACAGACCCATTTTATTAAATAAATGAATTTTTAAGCTGCTGGTATAATTATTTGCTTTATAACATTATCTAATGCATATATAGCTGCTGAGAGGTCGTCTTCCTTTCACGGGTCTTTCTGAATGTATACAATTTCCACCTGAAAGTGTCTCCTGATCTGTCCTTGAAATAGAGCCACCCTAGCTCATCCATCTCCAGTATGTCTCCAGACCTAGATAATGTATAAATATATCTCCAATATATCTCCTGACCTAGATATTGTATAAATATATCTCCAGTATATCTCCAGACCTAGATAATGTATAAATATATCTCCAATATATCTCCTGACCTAGATATTGTATAAATATATCTCCAGTATATCTCCTGACCTAGATATTGTGTAAATATATCTCCAGTATATCTCCTGACCTAGCTATTGTATAAATATATCTCCAGTATATCTCCTGACCTAGATATTGTGTAAATATATCTCCAGTATATCTCCTGACCTAGATATTGTATAAATATATCTCCAGTATATCTCCTGACCTAGATATTGTTTAAATATATCTCCAGTATATCTAATGACCTAGACATCATATAAATATGTCTGCAGTATCATTTATCTCAATATCAAATAAAAAAATTATTAAATAACATTTTTGTTTGGAAAAAAAACTTTAGAAAAAAATATGACATCAATACGTTCTAGGAATTCTAGTTATATAACTGAATAGTCAAAGTACAGAGGTGGAGGGGGTGAGGGAGGCTGTGGAAGAAAGGGGGAGGAGGGGGGTTTTCTCTCATCTGGATATTTACTCAAACTCCAAAAGTATGTTCTCCTACTCCGGGAGTATGTACACTTACTCCAGGAGTATGTAACTCCTGAAGTATGTACCCCTACTCCAGGAGTATGTACCCCTACTCCAGAAGTATGTACCCCTACTCCAGGAAAATGTACTCTTACTTCATTAGTATGTACTCCTACTCCAGGAGTATGTACTCTTAGTCAGAAGTAAGTACTCTTACTCTCGGAGTATGTTCCCCTACCACAGGAGTATGTACTCCTATTCCAAGAGAATTTACTCCTACTCCAGGAGTAAGAACTCCTACTCCAGGGGTATGTACCCCTACTTCAGGAGTATATACCCCCTACTGCTGGAGTATGTGCTCCTAATTCAGGATGTGCCTTTACTCCATGAGAATGAGCTTCTACTCAAGAAAAAGGTGCTTCTACTCCAGGAGTATGTGCTCTTACTCCATCAGTATGCACTCTTACTCAGGAGCATGCACTCTTACTCAGGAGCATGTACTCTTAATCAGGAGTATGTGCTCTTACTCAGGAGCATGTACTCTTAATCAGGAGTATGTGCTCTTACTCAGGAGCATGTACTCTTACTAGTCCTGGAGTAAGTACCCCTACTCCAGGAGCATGTACTCCTACTCCAGGAGCATGTACTCCTACTCCAGAAACGTACTTTCACTCCATGAGCATATACTCCTACTCCAAGAATATTTCTTGAAATCTTACCTAAAGCACGAATCTCCTTTTTTCCAAACGTCTCGAAGAATTTTTTTCCCAGTCTCCGCCTTATCTGCGTACCCATGAAAATCCCTTAGAAATAAATATCTTTGAAAAACTTGCTTTAATTAAACAAAACAATACCATCAGAGCTGGGAACATTATAATGGTGGATATCGAGATTAATGCTTGATCCTCTCTATTTCTTAATCTCGCGACTAACCTAATCTTGTACTTGTATCCTGGAAAGTGTATAAAATTCAACCAATCAGAGTCGCGTATCATAAGCCGGGAAAGTTGAAATTTTGCCCGCCATTTAATAAGAGGTCTCTCATTTAATTAAGAGACGGGAGGATATTTCCAATTTTGAAAAACCTGTTTATAATTTTTTTGTACTATATCCAAAAAAGAGTGGATTAAGAAATTAAAAGCATCCACATTGGATATTCCGATTGTGCAATCTGGATGAAAGGTATCCCGTTCAATAGTTCCCAGCTCAGTTAAATTAACAATTGGTCCTCTTAAAAAAGGAAACAATATTGAATATTTATTATGGAACTGTACTGTACTGTCGTCGAATTGTACTATACCTGACAGGATGTCCTTTATCTATCCTTCCAACCAGTTCTCCTGTACATACGATATATTCAAACGAAAATTTAGTGTTTCATGTTATTATGTATTAATAGTATGTATGTAATCGTAGAATTGCTGGCAAGAAGAATATGATTGGCATTCATTAGCATGAGTATTGATGAGTAAAGATGAGTATATTTAAGAGGTATATTAAACCTAAACATAGAATAGAATTCAGTCACTAGAGATATATATTTCATTTAGAGTTATTATGTTAAACCTTAACAAGTTTTATAATGAGGGATAATAAACCCTAATAACAATAAGATAAGAGAGATAATAAATCTTAATAAACCTAAAACAGGGGGATATTAAATCTAGAATTTGGGCAATATTAACCCTAAAATACAGGAGAAGAAAGTTCCAACCCGTGATTTGACCCAGACCTAACACTGGGTGTCAGGTTTGAGCTAGGGTTTCCAGCGAACAAAAAGTTTCGGGAAAAAATGCGAAAATTTTCGTTCGTATTTCGAAAACTTTTTCGCGAAATTTTGCATTTTTCGAAAAATAAATTAAGCTAAAAATGCGAAAACGATGCGAAATTTCGCTGAATATGTGTCTTGTATTCTTAAAATTTTGTCTTTTATCATGAATTTTTGCAAAAAAATTTCATTTTTTTTAATTTCAGTATTTTTTTGCGAAATTTTCGCACCATTTTTTCGCAAAATTTTCACAATTCTTATTTCGCGAAAATTTCATATTTTTTGCGAATCAGAGTGCAGCGAAATTTTGCGAAAAAAGGGAGAATTTCCGTTTTCGCTGAAAACCCTAATGTACAAAGTGATCTTATTTGAATTGTTAATATTGTTTAAAATGAAGTCGAGGATTAAGAAACCGTCTTCATACCTTAATTTAGAATAGGTAAGGCTATATTTAGATACATTGCTGTAGCATATGCAAAGTTTGTGTCTGATATTTTAAAATACCATGTAAAATGTAAAATGGAAAATTCTAATTTTAATATTTCATTGTTCTCTATACAATTAAATTAAACAGAAAAATGAGGGAACATTTTTGATAAAAATGAAGAAAACTTGAAACCTCTTTATTCTCCTCAAGTATAATGTAGATACAAAGGTTAGAATAAAAAAGTATTTTTAGTAATTCTTGCTATTCTGTAAATCTGCAAAAGTGCGTTTTGTTCTGAATTGTTGAATATTTTCAAATTATGGATTGTTAGGAAAGTTGGTTTAAGTTCCAAAACACGTCCAAGATTCGAATTGTAAAAATGTAAAACCTTAAATTGTTTCGAAAATTATATGGGGTTTTGTTTAAAATGCACGCTCCCTCATAGTTTCAATTTTAGAAAATAAATAAATTGTGTTTTTTAAAGTTATCGTAGTGCTTAATAATACGTTAAAAATAGTTTTTTTTATTTGCACTCGGCACATGAAGAAGAGTTACTAAAAGGTTCTTCATAATATGTGTGCCCAAACCTGACAGTCAGTGTCAGGTTTGAACATAATCACGGTTCGGAACTTTATTCCCCTGAAATAAGGGGGATAATTAAATCTAAAATTTGGACAATATTAACCCTAAAATAAGTGGAAAAATTTATTCAAAAATCCCACTTAAGTTTAACTTGATCCAATTTTTCATGTTCTGGAAAAATTTTAGAATCTTTTAAAGATTTTTTGAATTTTCATAATTTTTTTTAAATCTTAATTTTTTATTAATATGTTTGGAGCACTCTAGTTTATAATCAAAGTGTTTTCTTGATAAGGATTAAGTTAAGTATACGTTTCATAAAAAATGAGAAACCTTAGTTTTAATTAATGTTGTTTACGTACAGAACTAAGAAATGGAAACCTTTTAAGAGTATAAACCTTTTAATGAAAGGAATGAGTGTAACCTGTTCCAAACGAGAAAAAAGTCATATTTAAGAAATTGAGCCCCAATACATTCTTTTTGGTAAATCATTTGGAGGTGGTTGGAAATATTTACAATATTTTCAAAACTATTCATGACTCCTAATTCGAAGTTTTCTTTGTATTTCTCATTAAAAAGTTTCCACGTCACAATTAATTAATTTTGTAGTGTTTTTCAGTTTGCTGCACCGTTTCTCAGTCGTATTGTCTCACCCAACGCAGGTAAAAAGCAATTGAGTTGTCACCACAAACTCTGTTTTTCTAGTCCCTATATCTTTCCAACCCAATGGCGTAGACCTTAGATGTTTCAAACTATGCATTAAGTATTAAAGGTTCACACCATCTGGTTGCAAAGATGATTAGAAAATTTGAAATTGTGGCAAAGAATTAGCGCTCAGCAGTCCACATATTCCGAACTAAATCTAAGAAACGGTTTTTTCAAAAAATCTAAAAGAAATTCAAAACATCAATATTTCCCCAAAAAGCTTACAAATCGATTAATGCGATGGTTACTGTGAGAACTCAGTAATAATATCTCTTCTTTTGTCTAATCTTGTTTATTCTACAATTTATGTGTTCAATCTAGGGTTTCCAGCGAACGAAAACTTTTGCGAAGAATTGTGAAATTTCGAGAAAAATTTTTTCAGTTCGCAATATTTCACACTTTTCGCGATAAGGAATTCAGCAAAAGGAAACAAAATCGACAAAATATGCGACAATTTCTTAATTTAGCATTAATCTATTTTGTAAAAAAGCGACATTTTCGGCTTAAAAAAATGTTCGCGAAAAATGCGATATTTTCGTGAAACAATTTTCCCATTTGGCTGGAAACACTAATTCAATATTGTTGATGGAGGAAATGAACTGACCTTGCTTTAAACTTATCCCAGATTTCAGGGCGTAATCCGTTCCCAACAATCATTCTGAAATTTAAAAAAAAATAGATTTTTCATTTATTTTAATATTTGTTGGTTGGTTTGTTAAACATTTATATTGTTCTGATCTGAACAAATTCTTCAGCATAGATCTTTGACAAAAAATGGAAAAGTTTCCCTTCAGAATCAATGTTCAAAAGTAACATGTAAATGAAATATTTAAAATACTTACCTAATTTTGTGCTTTTTATCAAATGGTGATTCTGGAGTAGAATATAGATATCTTGCTACTTCACCAATATACTGAGCAATCTATACACAATATATCTTCATTTGTTTAGTAAACTTAGATGCTGAGCCATCTATACACAATATATCTTCATTTGTTTAGTATACTTAGATGCTGAGCAATCTATACACAATATACCCTCATTAGTTTAGTATACTTAGATACTGAGCAATCTACGCACAATAAATCCTCGTTAGTTTAGTATACTTAGATACTGAGCAATCTATACACAATATACCCTCGTTAGTTTAGTATACTTAGATACTGAGCAATCTATACACAATATACCCTGGTTAGTTTAGTATACATAGATACTAAGCAATCTATGCACAATATATCCTTCTTAGTTTAGTATTCTTAGATACTGAAAAATTTAAACACAATATACCCTCGTAAGTTTAGTATACTTAGATACTGAGCAATCTATACACAATATACCCTCGTTAGTAGAGTATGCATAGATACTGAGCAAACCATACACAATATATTCTCATTAGTTTAGTATACTTAGATACTAAGCAATCCATGACAATATATCCTCGTTAGTTTAGTATACTTAGATACTGAGCCATCTATACACAATATACCCTGGCTAGTTTAGTATAATTAGATACTGAGCCATCTATGCACAATATACCCTGGTTAGTTTAGTATACTTAGATACTGAGCCATCTATGCACAATATATCCTCGTTATTTAGTATACTTAGATACTAAGCAATCAATACACAATATACCATGGTTAGTTTAGTATACTTAGATACTGAGCAATCTATACACAATATATCTTCGTTAGTTTAGTATACTTAGATACTAAGCAATGTATGCACAATATACCCTGGTTAGTTTAGTATACTTAGATACTGAGCAATCTATACACAATATACCCTGGTTAGTTTAGTATACTTAGATACTGAGCAATCTATACACAATATATCTTCGTTAGTTTAGTATACTTAGATACTAAGCAATGTATACACAATATATACTGAAAAATTCAACGAAAATACATAATTCTAAAGAAAATTGAGACTCTTACTGTTGCATTGTTTCTACAACAATCGGACCAAAAGTTGCGAGCAGAGAACTTCTTTCTAAATTAAAAGAAAACATAATTAGAAACATTAGAAAAAAGGTAAACATTGAAACATTAGAAAAAAGATAAACATAGAAACATTAGAAAAAAGATAAACAAAGAAACATTAGAAAAAGTTTCGAGAGCCTTTATCTAAATATATATATAGAGTTGTAATCTCTGTTTGTCTGTCTGTTTGTTTGTCCGATCATAACTCAGGAACCCCTGGACCGATTTGCCTCAAAATTTTGAACTCGGGAGACCCGCAGGAATGTTCTTAGCTTGGTTTTCAGATTCTAAGTTGAGTGGGTCGACTTTAATAGCGAAAATCTAGTTTCCTGTTAAAATAGTTTAAGTGGGGGTAAACTGCGGGAGTAACTTTTAAAAACCTGTGGCAGGGCTGGGTTCCCAAACTAGTTTATCTATAATTTTGGTTCGGGCTTACATTTGACATTAATAACAATTAAATAATTTTTTTAAATAACACGCTTATAAATTTTTTTTTTATATATAAGATTTTTAAGATTTTTTTTTTCTGAGTTTAAACATTGAAGGGTTAAATATCAGTGAAGTTGGGGAAGAGGGACCAGGGGAAGGAGGGGAAGAGAACGTAAGCTCACGAACTTGTGCTAATTACACGGCACAAGTTTACTTTACTTGATCCCAAGTATTGTTAAACAAACAAGGTTGATAAGAAAATTTAATAAGTTATTAAATAAGCTTATTTCACTGTAATCATACTTTGAATTTAAGGTTTAGTGATTCTTGGAAAAAAATATGTAGTTTTTTAAACTTCTTTCCTTCAGTTTTTAATGATTTTTATTTCTTAAAAGTTTGTCGCTTAAAGGTTAGATATTCATAAGTAATTGCAGTTAATGATGATTGATTAATTGTTAATTTTAAAATAAGATTCGATTACTATATTACCAGTTTTTTTAACCCAGCATACCCAGACATATCATTTTTTGAACATTGTGAATATATACTACATGTAGAACTTGTGGATCATGAGGAGCTATCTAACGTCACAGTTATGCTCCCTCGTCTAGATTTAAACGAGCCCAAGCAGTTACACCTCAAGATTAATCTGTAGTCTAACCCTCCTCTTCACTGTCTCCTGGAAAAGATTGATCTCGTTGAAATCCCCACTTCAGACGAAGTAAAGTGGGAATATTGTTTGCTCAATGCAGGAAAAAATTCATCTATTCTAGATTCATCCTCTGCTGTTAAATCACATTTAGATGAGCTGTTAGGGTTAGTTGAAGTTCCGATCTCTGGTAGGGTTGAGTCCTTCTATACGTACCCTATGAACAGGGTAGGCAACCCAGGGATAGATGCGGTACCTGACAATCTCTGCTCCAACAACATTGAGAAATCTTAAGAGGAGATTATAGGAGGGGAAATTCTGAACATCAGCGAGTTTCACTTTTCAATGATGAAAAACTCTAGTTTGTGTTGTGTTTGAAATCCTTGCCCTTCTAAATAATTATAACAGATAAGAAAAACAATCATGGTTATTACTAATGCTTGGAATTGTTTTGTGCAAATAAAATCTAACTGTAATGTTTCAATTGAAAAAAAACAATTATGCCAAGGACTGACTAGGATAGTCACCTTGAAGTGCAGCTTAGGTAGTTGCAGAGCACTCTCTCGGGAAAACAGAGTGTCACTACCATATGTGGGCCTCCCCAGGAGGATTAGATGTTCCAAAAATACCTACAGCAGATGTCAAAGCATGGCCAAAGTATCATAAGCATCACATGTGAAGACATACCATAAAGCTCTAGTAGGGCACTTTCCATCAATGAAGCATTAATGGGTGTAAAAAACAATTAAGCCAGATTTGTCAAATCCATTTTAAACAGACTTTCCAAATCAGTTAAGGAACCTTTTGACATTTTAATAAAGGAAAATGTCACTTTTACTTATTTAATTCTGTAAGCCAGAAACGTATGGACTTAAGTTGTATCATTGAGTGCGTATACCTAAAATTTTATTTTATTAATCGTCTTTGTATTTTTGTGTTTGAAGGATATTACATTTGTCAATTAGATCCACCAAGCTTGATTGCCTTTTTATTTATCATTGATAAAAGTAAATTGCATTTATTTTCCAGATTAAACTAGCTTCGTGATCGCATTATTTTACATAGAATTGAGTACATAAACCCCAAAAGTCAAAAAACTAAAAAACTAAAAAAAATAATTAATAAACCTGTTTAACCCTATTCCTGCTGGGGGGGGGGGGCAATTTGACCCCCCCTGTAGTTTTTTTTACATAACTCAAAAAGTATTTGTCAGAGGCTGTTGAAATTTTCTGACTTTTCCTACATACCCAAAGCCCTTTCTTTAGGCCTAAAACCGGGCTTTAATACTAACTGCCTGAGTCGTCAGGCACACTGCCTGAATGACTGCTTTTTTCTGTATAAACTAAATCTTTGTTTTGACCCACTTACACTTGTCTGATTTTGATAAAATTTAGCTTTTTGGAAAGCCTTTAACATAAGGAAACAAATTGCACAAGTTTTACAAGAAAAAATTGCAAATTTTTTGCAAACAACCTGTCGAAGGAAATTTGCACATTTTTAGTTTTTCTTGATGAAAAATCAGGTTTTATGAAAATTTGGAAAATTTTTTTTCATATTTGAAATGGCATGGCCAAGGGCTTTTCAAAAATGTATAATTTTTTATTTTTTGGACAAGTTTGTTTTTACAAACATTTATACTATAAAACTGGATTTTCCGATAAAAAATTTAATTTTTGTAAATTTGCAAATTTTTTTTGCAGATTCTAAATGTAGACTGTAGAGCACAAGAGCTTTCCAATGATGTATCATTTGTCATATTTGGACATCAAACATGGGATTTAGAGGGGGGGTCAAATTTGCCTGCCCCCCAGCGTATCCTGGTTTTCAAGTACCCCAGCAGAGATTGGGTTAATGTAAAATGTGCTCTTTAAAGAAGGGGCACTGGACCCTTCTTCAATACATGGGTCCAGTGCCCCTTTGACACTGGATCCATGCTGGGTCTTGCTTTTTAAATTCTTTTTTTAAAAAAACTCAATGTATATATGCAGACGAATTGGCCTATCCCATTCTGCCTGCGCAACAGGTATTAAAACTGTTATGTTAAAAAAATTACCATGATTGTTAATTTTCCGTCCTAGAGTCCTTTACATCTCTCCTCATTTTGCATTTTTCTTGAAAAAAAAACCTATTTGTTTATGTAGCTCTTTCAAAGTTGAGTTGTTTTCTCAGTTTCCTAATCGTGAACACAAACTGTTCTATTTTTTCCCAGGGACTTCTGCTGGTAGGTAGTGTTTGTTTTTACCTAAAACTGAGTTTTTGACAACATTTTTTAAGAAAATATGTCTTTTGCTTAATTTATTATACTCGGCTAGTCCTGTAAATCTTTTCTTTTCTGTTCCTTGATTCTCTGCCTTCTGTTTTGATTTTATGTCTTGAATAAATGTGGTAGGAAAACTCTGCTTTGCTAATAAATTTTGGTTTAGTAATTCTTCTTTACTAGACGTGTGTCCAGTTCAAAAATAGCACGACCCTGCCATCTTTTTATATTTATTACTTACATTTGAATTAAATGGAATAACATCGTATTTTGAATTTGGTTTTCTTAGTGTGAATGGGTTGTTCCCTCCAGGAAAAATTGAATATTTATGTTTAAAATTTCTACTTTANCCCCACGATCCTGTCAATTTAGTACTAGGTGTAGGGTATATTACATGGATACTAATTTTGACTTATTTTAATTCACAAATTGTCTCCAAATTATTTAATCATGTCTCATATTCAATTTTCATTAGAGATTATTCTACTCCCTTCACTTGAGGGGAGGAAAAATCTTTCTTGTTCTGCTTGCTGGACCCAAATCACAAACCCCTATCCAGTTAATTATTTCATGCGAGTAGTATATATTTAATGGATGCTATTTTGCTTTTTCACAATCTTTAAATACTTTACTTTTGAACTAATTCTGGACCCCCCCCCCATCTCCTGTAATACTTTCGCTGGGGTTTAGTATGCAACAAAATGGATCATGTTTTCCACAGATCCCCCCCCCACTGGCTACCCTCATTCCCAGTCAATTTAGTGCATGGGGGTAGTATGGAATACATGGATACTAATTTGCCTATTCACAATCTTAGTTAACTTAATTTGCTTTTGGATATTAAATTCTTTAATTAATGGGAAAATGTCTAATTATAAAACTGCAATATAAAAGAATTTCTTTTTGTGCAGTATGGTGCTTGATGAAACAGACAGCAATCCTGAGGTAACAGTCCAGGTTCCTCTGGTAGATGTGGCATCTCAAATATCTCTTACTGTATCGGAGTCCTTTCACTTTAACTTGCAGGATTGGTTTCCAACAGAAAACCTTGAGAATCGAATCATAGAGCTGGCCAAGACTGTTGAGCACACAAGGCACAAGCATTGACGAACCTACGCTAATAACAGAATTTCTTCTATTATTAACAGGAAAACTAGAAAGTAGCAATGAACTGGATTTTCCAAAAGGTTGAAGATTTTCTAAACTTATTTCATTCAACACTTTCTTCTTCCTAGCTGATGAAATATAAGACTGAGGATCCTTATTTTCTTGAGCAAAACCATTTCCAGGATTCAGGGTTGGTTCCATCAAAGACCTGGTTATTGTTTCATATTTATTTGCTTGAAACTCTTGGTTTATAGTGCTTGTAAAATTACAATAATTCTGTGTGCTAGTATTCTGGATTAATGACTCTGAGTCTTTCGGTATTTTTACTAGGTTTTTAATGAATTTTAAAGGAAAACCTTTTTCTTTTAGAATTGATGTAATTATTTGATTTTGTCGACTTAGTTCTTCTTCAGATGTTGTATGTGTCCTGTTTGTTTTGAAATGACACAATCCTGCCATTTTCTTGTATTTTGGGTTTACAGTGGAGTTAAAAGGAATGACATCATATTTAGAGTTATATTTTCTTAATACTGTTGTTACTGGTTTTGTAGTTGCTGGATTGTAGAAAATTTTAATGTTTAGAAGCTTCCCATATATAATCTTAGTTTTGACGTTGAATCGTATTGCTTCTGGGTAACCTATTGTTATGATTTTTACTATTTTTAACATTGTTTCTGTATTTCCTGTAACGTGTAATGATACATCATCACGAAATCTCAAATATCTGTTCACATTCTTATGCAGTTTGTGATCTTGTAGTTTATTAAATATCGTTAACTCAAAAATTCTGAGGATTATTTTGCTACCTCTCGCAGCAAAGTTGTCCCCCACTGAGAAGCCTTTTAATGTTTTATTAATTTCGTTTGGTTCTTTAAAATATGAATGGTTCATTGACAACGACATTAAGTTTACGATAAAATCTATTGATTCATTTGATAGTTTAGCTAATTTGCAGCTATCTTTTAAACATTTTTCTAATAACTCTTTAATGCAATTTGAATCAGTGTTGCCAACTCCAAAAGTACGGTCTAGGCCAGAAATAGATTAGAATTAGGCCCAAGATAAAAGAATTCGGCCATTTTACTAGTTAGGGGGGCGAAGCCCCCCAAAAATTTTTTTTGGGCCTAAAAGCAAAATTTTTGGCCTAATTCTTAAATTTTTAACCTAAATAGTTGATTTATTGCTTCTTTTGTACCCTCAGCATTAGTATCTGAAAAAAAATTAGACAATAGATATATATATGTACAATTAAACAATTATACATATTTGTACATGTTAGTTGTTACAGATCACAGGTATATTAATTTTCCTTCTAACAAAGAAGACCAAAATGCACCCCCTCTTAAAGAAAGAGAAAGAAAAAAGTATGAAAAAACAACAGTGTAAAGAAAAAAATGAACCATTGCTCTTTACATAGAACAAAACTCAGTAGAAGTAGGGAGAAGTTCAACGACCTGGTTGAACTCCTGATCTTCTGGGTCAGGGAGCAGGGCCTGTGACCAGATTTAATGAAAAGGGAGCATGACATGTAGTTCAACCTCATAGACAAAGTTGAACCACTTCACTTCAGTTCAAGCTGACAAGAAGTGGTTCAACCTAGTCTACAGGGTTCAACTATGCCTTGATTTTTATTAAATCTGGTCCCTGGTTTTTAGTAGATTTGTACATTTGTACATTTAACAGCTCAAGCATTTCTTTGTTAACATTCATTGTTACACAGCACTTCCAGCATACAGATAGCTCCTCACTCTAAGGATGGATTCAAGCATTTCAGTTTTAAGAAGGTTTCTCTGTTTGTTCTTAACCACACTCACAATGCTGAAAATGTGCTCAACTGCTGCAGTTGAATGAGCTAGAGTAAAACGCCCAAGAACGAATAGTGCCAGGTTCTGGAATGGTTTGAGAGGTTCCAGATCATCAGGATCTGAATTGTCATCATCTTCTTTGTCTCCAACAAAAGGATGTGTGTATTCCAAAACTTTACTCCAAAAGGATACAGAATCCTTTGGTAAACCACCCTCAAGTTCTTTAATAGGACCTGTGTTTTTCCAGTCCACCTGCTTAAACTGACGGAACTCTTCTTCAAGGTCATCAAGGTTCTCCAGAGGGATACAACCCATAAATGGCATGTCGGCAAAGTTTTTCAAGAAGATGGATGAAGGTCGGAAAAAGTTTAAATGCTTAAAAACTTCCAGGTTGGCAGGTAGTCTCTTCTCCACCTCCTCCACTAATCTTAGCAAGAATGCCCAAGCTCTGTTCTTTGCATCCTTTATCTTAGCTTGAATCTCCTCACTCCCTCTACTGTATTTACTACACTCAATGGTAAATAATGCACCTAGATCCACCTGCTCCGATCTCTTTTTCTGAGTATTTGGACCAGAAGTAAATACACATTCTTTTATACTTTTAGCATAAGATGTAAGAGCATTGTATGCACTTTCAGCTTCTCCGGATCCCTGGGTCTGATAAACAAGATTATTCAATAATTGAGCATGAATGTATAATTATTAAAATTTGGATGGAGATTTTTCGATTAATAATTTGTGTTTACCTGGAATAGTTTGTTAATCTTCTCAAATTGCTTGACAATCGGGAGGAGGAACATGAGAAGACAGTACTTAGAACGATCCAGAAATATTTCACATAGCTTGGCAACTTTGAATCTCTGCTCCTGAGGAACTTGATTTTTAATCGACTGGAAGTATGCACAGAGAGTATCCCAGTTAGCATGGATAGTTTCAATAACTCTTCCCCTTGCCAACCTTCTAGTTTCCACGTACCGGTTAAAAGGTGTACCGTCCCCTGTACAACCCAGAGCTTGCTGAATTTCTAAGAATTCTTCCCTTCTCAAGGTAGATCTGGCAAAGTGGGCAGGCACCTCATGGAGTAGGAAAGCTATACTATCAGGCATGTGAGCCTCAAATGAGTGTTTGACTACTAATGCAAGTGAATGGCAAATGCATTTGATCTGGACACATTTGTTGTTTTTAGATCGGAATCTACTCCACACTGAGTTGTTTACACGAGCTACATTACTAAAATCAATTTGAATTTAAAAAATAGAAAATAAACGTTGTATTAATATGTTTAAAAAATATAATATAGACAAGGGCGTATACAGAAATAAATGTAGGGGGGGGCAAGATTTGCGCGAAGCGCAAAATTTTTTTTTGCCCCCCCCCTGGAGCTCCTAGGGGGGGGCAAAATTCGAACTGTAAATTCATAACACTTGGCTTCTTGGATATCAGGCATAAGTATAAGATACTTAAAAGGCACACATACAGTCCAAATAATTACCTTCTAAGATTCAAGTGTACAGTGTACACNAATTTCTACAATTCAACAAAAAAAATTCAGGAAAAATTTACCCCTGTATTTTAAATCTGTAAAATTTTAAAATTTAAAATTCAAGTAGCAATACAATTCGAGATGATTTAGTAATCATTTCTAAATTAAAATAACGTTGCTTTCCTTAGTTCGATGCAGCTTAATCTTCTCCATTATCCCACCCCTAGCACTGTTGCTAATAATTTCTGTTAGATGATCAACAGTTCTGTGAAAATGTTATTTGATCATTTAATATTTCAATTTATAATATTTCAAATGTATGAATAAATAACTAATGTAATTGATAAAAAAAACTTTAATGGACTAAATTTAAATGAAATGTAAAAAATATTAGAAAACAATCTTGTAGATTTAACTTAACTTTAGGATCAAACAATTTCCTTATGCTTGTATGACAGATAGCCATTGTGGCTAGTTTAATTTCCAAACTTTTCAGCTCATCAGGCACAGTTTGGGCTACAGAAAACGGAATTTTACTTTGATTCTTATTTAGTGCTCTGATGAGGAACCTAAAACAAACTCAAATTAAGGTGAAAATCTCACAATGTAGATTGAAGTAATACTTTCAAATGGTCATTTTATAGAGCGCTTTTTTGCCCCCCCCCCCCCTGATAAAATGGCGGCTTGAAAATTGACAGTTAACAACTGAAATGGTTACTAGAAAAGGGCCTGAAGCGCCATAAATGCCCATTATATAAAAAATACTTACATATGACCTAGTCCTAGGCTGTGTGTCCTTATAACGTCTAATTTGGCATGCATTTCAGATTTGCAATGAAGACATTTTGCCCGATTTTTCGACACACCCTGTCTGATCCAAGGAAACTTAATTTCCCATCCCTTGTTATAATTTCTCTGTCCTCTAGGTTTAGCCATTATTGCTTGATTCAT